GAACCTGGGACCTTTCAGTCCGCAGACCGACGCTCTACCACTGAGCCAAACCAGTTTCGGCCACCTAGCATATTTTTATATCTATTTTATTGATTGTCTGACTCATCTCCACTGAAATATCAAGTCCCTGGGAACAGGGTGTTCACTGCTAGAATCTAAAGTCAGACCTGGCACATAGTAGACTTTCAGTAAATATTTGTCACCTGAAGGATAGAGGAAGATCATTTAAGGATTTGATGGTGAACAAGTTGGACATGGTCTCTGCCCTCACAGATTTTAATTTTTTTTTAATGTTTTCATTTCTTCCGGGTGAGAAATTCTTATGTGAAAACTAGAGGCCCGGTACACAAATTCATGCATGCGTGGGTGCGGGCCAGCATTTGTGGGGAGGGGCTGCAGGAGGTTGGCCAGCCAGTGTGTATCATAGCTATCAGTTGCTCCAGTCATTCTGGTTGCTTGGCTTTTTTGTATATATATAGATGAGTCTTCACTTTTATTAGAAATTGGGTATATAAAGTGCAGTTTTTGGAAATTGGCCTTCATATAAGTTGAATGTTTTACTAAGTATTTCCCCCCTCAAGTCTTTAATAGACATTTATGTCAGGCCTCATAAGTTAAATGTCAATTAGACTTTTGTTTTCTTTCCAGATTATTCTAAACTTAATATCTAGGAGCAAATCTTCTTTGAGACACAGAATCTGATATGTTAATTCAATGAAAAAATTTTTATTACTCATATTATACAAGTCTGCTTTATTTCTAGTTTGTATTATCTTATCAATATCTATCTGAAATTTGGTGCTTTGGTTATTATTGTTTCTTAAAAACCTGAAACATCTATTTATGCTAAAATATATCTTTGATGTTATCACAAACCTCAAAAGCCAAGTTAGTGTCTTTTAACTTGTAAGTTGGAAATTTGGTTATATTTTTATAACTACTTCATAAACTATATTGACAACATATTAGTTTGAAAAACTCCTCTGCACAATGTAATTATAGTTTTTAATGAAGTGGGAGAAAGAAAACACATCTAGTATGTATAATATTGTTAATAGCTCTCGTTTATATATATATATATATATATATATATATATATATTAATTGATTTCAGAGAGAGGAAGTTAGAAAGAGATAGAAACATCAGTGATGAGAGAGAATAATTGATGGTCTTTCTCCTGCACGCCCCTTATTGGAGATCAAACTCACAACTGGACTGGGAATCAAACTGTGACCTTCTGGTTCATGGCTTGATGCTAACTCCCATTTTTAAAAACAAATAAATACAGTCATGCATCACATAATGATATTTGGGTCCATAAAATTAAAATGGAGCTGAAAAATTCCTATCACCTAGTGATGTCATAACCGCCATCAGTCAGTGTGCAGTGCATTCATTACCCTTGTGTTCGTTGAGACACTGGTGTAAACAAAGCTACTGCACTGCCAGTCATGTAAAAGTACAGCACATACATTTAAGAGTAGTAAGCTATACCATCTAGATTTTTGTAAGTGTTCTCTGTGATGTTGGCACAATGACGAAATTACCTATCTGCGCATTTCTCAGAATGTATCCCCAACATTAAGTGGCATAGAACTTTAAATCCACATCTAAAGAAATCGAAAGTCATTTTTCCAAAAAAACCAATTCAATTTATTCTTTCTTTCCTTGACCTTGGAACAAAGAATATTTGAGAAATTGCATACGTATTAAGAAATAAGTTTGATAATCTTGTAAAAACCCTTTCCTCTAGGTTAGGGGTGTCGAACTCAATCAGAGAAGGGGCCAAAATCTAAAATCCAGCCTAAATCGCGGGCCGAATGGTTTACTGAACAGTCATAAACTGTCATTGTGATGGAAACGCAGCGGAGTGCAGTGATGACAGCGCGGTGCGGGCCACATTGCAAGGCCTGGCGGGACGGATTTGGCCCGCGGGCCTTGTGTTTGACACATGTGCAGTCTAGGTGTATACCTAAGAACCTTGTAAGGGATGTTAAAAAGCGGCACTTAACAAAGGGTGTTATTATTCTGCAGGATGTTAATAGAAGTTGTATGAGGCAAAAGAGTTCTTGGTAACATTACTGTGGACAAATGCTGAGAAAAACTAAAGTTCCAGCGGTTTCTTTAACATCCCACATCACTTTATGTGCTGGGAGCTTTTGTACATTCCTAGAACCTTTGATATGATTTGAATCTGTAACAGGAGGTAATATATAGTATGCAGGAACTCCCAGATGTATTTAATCAAGAAATCCTTTTTTCATAGTATTGATCACATTCTGAAGGATATGATATTGAGGGAATTCTGGTAAGCAGTATGGAAAGTCCCATTCATTATATGTGGTCTTATGAAGTGTAACCATGAAATCAATTCTAATCCTATTTTATTTAAATTTTTGACCATTCTTCTATCAAGTTAAATCTTTTTTGTTTTAGAAGTTTATCTTTGTTTTTTGTTTGTTTCAATTTAGTGGAGGGGTTTTTTTAGTTGATTGTGTTTTACTTGATCTTTATTATTGTAAGTATTTCAGATGTCCCCCCATTAATGTCCTCCACCTGTTCTCACCCTGTCTTGTAAAATTATCTAAAACATTGCCATACCCTGGTATTTGAAGGAAGTTGGATACTTAATACCGGTTTTGGAGTCAAACTGACCTCAATTTGCTACTTATGTGAGTGACTTTGGGCAAATTACTTAACATTTCTAACTCTCAGTTTCTTTGTTTATAAAGATTATTTGGTGTTGCTATTGTTATTTTGTTTTGTTTTATTTTTAGGTTTAAGAAGATTATCTAAGATAACATTCATAAAATACCTACCCCTGTGCCTAGGAAATAAAGGGTGCTTATCAAACATTAATAATTTTCTCTTACTTTCTTTTTTCCTATTTTACCTCAAAACAGGAGCACTCGTGTTCTGCAAGCTTCCATCAGTTATATTGAAATTTACAGCATACTCAGTTCTGAACTGTGCATCCAGTTTGTCTTACATAATTAACTTGGAATGATGGTAACTAATTTGTAAACCCAGCTATATGAACTTTATTTAAGGGTGGTTGTTTTTTAATGCTTTCAGGAAGCCATTAATTTGCTAGAACCAATGACAAATGACCCTGTGAACTATGTGAGGCAAGGAGCGCTCATAGCGTCGGCTCTCATCATGATCCAGCAGACTGAAATCACTTGTCCAAAGGTGAGCAAACAAAATGAGTCTCTAGAATACATTTGGTTCAAGCTTTTCTTTAGGTACCTTCTTTTGAGGACATTTTTACCTCAAATGTGGTGAACACTTAACTCATAGAAAGCCAAGAGGTAGGAGAATGGCAAAACTTTAAATATATAACACTCTTTAAATGCATTTCTTACAGATTTATGGTCACTTTGTTAATTCAACCATATAACCATACTTGAAAAATAGAACTCATGGGTTCGTGAAATCATAAAAGTCAACTTTAATTTTTGTCTTCTGCTGTCCTTTTAAAATGTATTCAGTGAGATAACTTGTTCCTCTGATACAGGATGTTAACTCAGGCAGTTTATACAATTTCAGTTTAGAAATGACATTGCCCTCTTGTGTAATCTCTTAGACCTCAAAAATAAAACTGTATGACAATATAAAAATCAAATGATCTTTGCTCTGGCCATTGGGACTCGGTGGTTAAAGCACCAGCCCTTGCACTGAAAGGTTTGATTCCTGATCCAAGGGCACATTCCTGGGGTTGTAGATTTGATCCTCAGCCCTGTGGGGGTGCATGTGGGAAGCAACCAATCTTTGTGTCTCTCTTACATCAATGTTTCTCTCTCCTCAGTCTCTCTTTCCCTGCCTCCCTCCCTTCCACTCTGAAAAGCAATGGAAAAAATATCCTGGGGAAGTGGAGGGGAAATTAAAATTGTATCTCATTGTTTTCTGCTATTAAGCATGTGATAAAAAGGTTTGTAGACTATAGTTTCTATCATTTCTATCTGATAATTGCTAATAGGACAACATTCACAATTCTTTTGGAGTAATATGTAACATTTTCCTATAAAGAAAAAGCTGTTAACAAGCTTGAAGAGAAGTTTTAAAGTCTACAAAGTCCTAGTTACAAGATTGTAAACGAGTTCATGCAATAAAGTGGAAAACCATGAAATCCAAGATTAAGTGTTAATTTCATCAAACTACAGCCCCTCCTCAAAAGAATCCAGAAGGAACATTTTTCAGATATTTTGTGAGATTTATAATTGACATTTCCAAAGGAAATATTTTTATGTAATTAGGATACAGGTCATCCTTTTACAGAATGCCATCTTAACACTTAGCTCTATATTGTGATTTTAGTTGAAATAACTCCAGTACATCCTTTCCTTTCCTCTGCCAGTTTTTTGCTTGCTCACTCTCACAAACATATACCCAGCAACATGCATACATCCCTGGGTGATTACAAACTCAATTTAGGAAGCCCTTTGACCAGAGGCTCAGAACTAGAATAATGCCTTTTAGACATAAACAGGAATAGGTTCTTGGAGCTGTTTTCTCTCAGGAATCCAACTCTGCTCTTTATGATGGATCTGTCTTTTGTTTTTTTCTTGTTACATGAAATCTATCTTTAGCAGTTATTTGATCATGTATATAGTATCATCTATAGAATCAAATAAAGATACTGATGTATAAGAGTGGATCTTTTGCTCCTCCTCGCCTAATATCTTTCCTACCGTCTGCTCAAGGAAGTTTCACCAACAACTGAGAAGATATCCTTTTTTGAAGTAGGATTATAATTGGTCAAGCTTGATAAGCTTTTGAGGTTCTAAAATAAATCCCAGTTTGGATAGATTAGGCTTTTGTGAGCTCTTGAAACTTTAATAATATATGCTAATATTTTACAGTACACCACATTTGTAAATAGTAATCTGTATTATCGTACTGTTGCCTTAACATGTTAAGCACCCAGCCTGTTTTGTCTTCCGGATGGAAAGTATAGTGTCAGTCACCAGTGACTGACAGGGTGCTTAACATGTTAAGATAGGGAGTTGAACTCTAACAGTGTAGATAGTAATATAAAGAAAGGGCTACAAGCAACTACCACGAACAAAATATTACTAATAAAATTGAGAAGTATCTGCAATTATTATTTGGGATATTGATAATGGGAAATCATGAAAGCACTGACAAATATCTTGAAAGAAGAATTAAGAATTTTTATTTTAGGTGTGTTGAGTTTGAGATGATAGTAAGTGTGCTGGACTTAAGATGAGAGCATAGCAAGAGTCAGAACTAAAGAAAGAGATTTGGAAACTAGCCACAAAGAAATTTTTAAAACTGCATACAATTCAAAAAGCTCTGAAAACTAAGGGTTTTTTTTAATTTTTAAGGATTCATTTGGCTGTAAAACCTGACCCAATCAATATGAACTCATTTATTACCTCAAGCATTTTGCTGCTTCAGAAACAATTTGTTTTATTATGGGACATTGCCTCCTCACTAAACTCTGAGTATTGAATAATATATAGTGCATACACCATGTTAGCTTTCTAAATTCTGAATTCCAAAATTCATCTGCCCTCAAGTACTTCTTGGTAGGAATTATAGACCTGTAGTTTAAGTCATAACAGCAGATGTAATAGAAAGAGAAAATAAAATAAAGAGGAAAAAACTCCCAATCTGATCCCTCATGTGCAGCTACAGTTCTATATTTAGGAAAATAGAAAAAAAGTAGAAAAGACGAGACATAGCCAGGTGATGAGTAGCAGCAAAAATGACTCCCGGGAAACGTAATTCCCTTCTTCCCATTCTTTATTTTTTCTCTGACATCTAAGAGTGTTTTCCCCCCAAGTAGTATAAGGTTTAGAGTTTAAAACAAGGTGAATATAAAAAATGCATTAATTTGGAGAAGGTAGATTTAACTATCTCTTTCTGTGAGATTATTATAATACTAGAGGCCTGAGGCATGAAAATCATGCAAGGGGCTCAACCTCCACCACCATGGCTTCGTCCAGAAGGACATCTATTCTAATTAGCATATTATACTTTCATTATATAGATAAGATGGGAAATTAATGTGATTTTTCTCCTACTATCGTGTGTGTGTGTGTGTGTGTGTGTGTGTGTGTGTGTGTGTGTGTAGGGGGGTAATATACATAATAATGAAATTGAGTCAGAAAATCCTGATCCTAGCCATGATTGCAGTTAGTTTTTTGTGATCACAAGTAAGACAGTAATTTCACCTATTTTACTTCAGCTTTCACATTTGTAAAATAGAGGGAGTACACCAGATGATCTTGAAGTCGACTTCCAAACTTATAACCTAAAAAAATAATCATTCTTTATGAGGTATCATAATAGTGAGATTAAACTACTGCTACATCGGTAGTAAAATGTGAAGAAAAAAATTTAAGTGATTAAAACTAGTTTTTTAAAGTAGTATACTTAATATGAATTAGATATCCCATTATATATTTGCATTGATTTTTTTTTTTAATCTGTCTTTCAGTTTATCGGATGTTTTTCTATTGTTTTAAGTGTAATTTTATATTTAAATTCTTCCTTATGGTGTACATATTGTGCTTTGACCAGTATTCCTTTTTATAAGTTCTTAAAATATTTTACAACATTCTTTACAACATAAAATTTCCATCCTATATAAGGTAATGTAAGTGTTCGTCCAAAAGAAGTTCACAGAAAAGGAAACAAACAAGAAAGAAATTCAGAATAAAAGGAATTTAACTTGCTGAACCAGAATAGAAGCATCAAAACTTAGACTTTTTAAAACTAAAAGGGACTTTTGTGATGATCTAATCATGCTGGGTTTTATGGTTTAAAAAAGTAAGACCCAGAGAAAGGAATAGCTTATTATGTGCTGGGTAGTGGCAGTTCATTGTTTTTCCATCACATTCTGTTGCTGTCTGAATAAAAACGAGAACCATGGATAAGGAATATAAATTTTTAGCCATACTTAGGTTACAGAGATAATAAAAGGACTAGTAGGATTCTGCCTCTGTATGATAAGAGCCATTAAACTATAAAATGCCTTTTTCCCTATAATTCTTATAACAGCCATGTAAGTAGGTGCTGTAATGTCAGTAGTGATGAAGAAAAACAGACTCGAAAAAGCTAAGTCCTTACCCAAACAGCTTATTAGAGCAGAGGTATTTATAAGCCAGCATTGTCTGATTCTATATTACTCTGCATTATCACAATGCGGCCTGCCAGACCAAGATGAATAAAGAAGGGAAGAGATTCTGAAAGAATATTTAATACATATAAAGTCATCACTTTAGGAAGCTCAAATTCAATATATTCTGCTTTGGGCAGATTTGGGGAGCTTCATGATCTTGTTCTTGAACAAGCAGAATTCTTCCTGGGTACTCTGTCATTTGAAAAGCACTGGTGAGAAAACAGAAGTGTAAGATGTGGAAGAAGTCTAAAATAGTTCACTTATTGTTTTCCAAACCATTTTAAAGGAATTACAAATACATTAAGAACATAATTTTATGAATATTATTTTATAATTATAAAAGTCATATATATTAAGTTTAGAAAATGCAGAAAAGAATAAAGAAGCAAACAGAATTACCAGTAATCCCATCCTAAATGAGTCAGCACATGTTTGACTTTAGTGTGTTCCTTTTCATAAGAGTAAATATTGTGATATGTCCTCAAAAAATTAGTGTGTATGCATAAAGAATCTTTGCTGTATATGTGAATACACTTAATCCAAAATATACCTCACACAACTTCACTGAAGGGTAGTTTACTTTAGGATAGACCAGAAGGACCATGCCTGTTAAGAAATCTGTAAGGTTGATGGTAAGCAGAATAGCTGTAATTCACAGTGCAATGAAAGCCTTACTGTTGGATTCAACATTCCTTTGAGCCTGAATCATTAACTGTGGAATGAAGGTTGAAAACAGAACTGGTGCTCTCTCACCAGAAAAGTCATAACACCATGATTTCAATCATAGAACTATGTTTTCTTCAACTATCCATATTCTTCTCTCTGAATGTTATGAAATTCAGGATTCAAATTTCATTACCAATTGAGCAACCTGTTTTTTCCTGTTCTAAAATGATACAGCAAATGAATAGAATTAGTCTATAATTCTTTCTCTTGTTCCTTCAGGTGAGTCAGTTTAGACAACTGTATTCCAAAGTCATCAATGATAAACATGATGATGTCATGGCCAAGTTTGGTGCTATTCTAGCCCAGGGAATATTGGATGCAGGTAAATGTTTTTAAGTCTTCCGGATTTATTTATCTCTTTATACTAAGCCTGATAAAATAACTGTATTATGTGGTAGAAATTGAGTTTGGGGTAAATTATTCATAAAAATAATTTAGCAGAGTGCATACTATGAGGGTTTGAGTCCCATTGCCTGTACAGTACTAGCCATATGACCTTGAGAAGTTGTTTCCCTTTCTCTATATCTGTTTTCTTGTCTTGTAAAGTCTACTTCATAGTATTGTGAGAATTAAAAATAGAACAGAGCCCACTTACTAAAGCGTTGAGTGTGTGTTGGCTAATTTTTTTTTCAGTTGTCTTAGTATATATCAGTTTTAAACAAGTTGAAATAACTTGGAGGAAAAATTATGTTTTAGATCTAGCCAACAATGCATACTTCTATAGGAAAAAGGTCTAGTTTTACCCTTAGTTCAGTTAAAATATAACACTTTAAGTCTTAGAGACCCTAGATAGCTCACTGGCTAATTCCAGCAACTCCATATTAAATTTTATGAACTGTACTCTTAAAATAATCACCAAATACTTCCCTAGCACAGTACTTAAAAATCTTTATGATTGCCCTCCTGAATTCATGTTCATGGTTTCTCTCTCTTTCTACAGGTGGTCATAATGTCACAATATCCTTACAGTCTAGGACTGGACATACCCATATGCCTTCTGTGGTTGGCGTCCTTGTCTTTACCCAGTTCTGGTTCTGGTTTCCTCTTTCACACTTCCTTTCATTGGCTTATACCCCTACCTGTGTCATTGGCCTTAACAAGGACTTAAAGGTATGTTTGTGAGACCTCAGTTTTATAGTGCATCTTCACAGGATTCTGTTCACTATCTGTCTGCTCACAAGTATTTTCATGAAATTTTAAAGATGAGTTAGTTAGTATCCCATCAATAACATATTTCCCCCTTAAATTGAATCATCACCTGTTGAGTAGAATGTGTTGGTGGAAATTTTAAAAATCGTCTTCTTACTAACTTTGTAACCTTAGGTAAACCATTTGAGAGGGAATGGTGAGAGAGGGGGCAAAATATAAAAAACCATGAAAGGCTTTATAAATTACTCTGATGAACTTTATTAAAAATCTGGGAGCTATTGGATGATTTCATGCAGATAAATATGATGAAATCATATTTGCATTCTAGAAACATCATTCTGGTATCAATGGAAATTTGTTATAATAATCTGGTCAAGGAAGAAAAGGACCTAAATCTTAATGAAAAATGAAGGTTAATATGTTTTTATTTATTTCAGAGAGAGGAAGGGAAAGGGAGTGAGGGATAGAAACATAATGATAAGAGAGAATCATTGATAGGCCTCCTGCAAGCCTCCCCACTGGGGATTGAGCCCACAGCTTAGGCACATGCCCTGACTGGGAATTGAACTGTGATCTCCTGGTTCAGTGGTTGATGCTCAACCACTGAATGACACTAACTGGGCTCATCCTTTTATTTATTTATTTATTTATTTATTTATTTATTTATTTTTTAAATGGGGCTTGTGCTTAGGTCTTTCTCAGTTCTATGGCTCTTCCATCGCCTTTTTACTCTTCCATCCACTCAGAGATCTGTTTGACCCGTAAATAACTCTTATATTTGGTCATTACTGTTGTTAAAATGTTCTGTTAGGTTTTCAGAGTGGAAAAATTTTAGGCAAAAGGAAAAAAAATGGTTGATAGAGATTATTTTATTGAATTGATTTTTTTTTTTTCCATAAAGCTGTTGAGCAAATTATCCTTTAAGTGTTTCAGTACTAAATTATTCTCATGTGTAAATATTGGTCAGTTTTAGTTCTCAAAACAAGAATCTTTTGGTTTACCAATCCCTAACCTTTAACATGTGGTTAAATATATTATAGAATCTTTAAGGACTTTTTCCTCTGACCCACAATTTTATGATCTCTATTTCTATTCTATATGATACATACACACACACATTAGAGGCCTAGTGCACAGATTCGTGCACTGGTAGGGTCTCTCAGCCTGGCCTGCACCCTCTCGCAATCTGGGGCCCCTTGGATGTCAGAGAGCTGGTTTTGGCCTGATCCCCACAAGCTAGGCCAAGGGACCCTTACTGGTGCACAAATCTGTGCACCTTGCCTCTATTATGCATAAAATATCTTTGGTTAATCTCTTCTCCCTTCCCCCCTTCCTTCTGTGATTCATCAGTCCTATTGCATGTTTTCATGCCTGTGGTTTCTGCTCCTGCAATGAGCATCTGTCCCCTGGTGGTTGTCATAGCTACCGGATGGTCAGATGGTCGCTTCGGCATATATATATATATATATATATATATATATATTTTTTTTTTTTTTTTTCTATTTGATTTTAGAGAAGAAAGGAGAGGGAGAGAGACAGAAACATTAATGAAGAGCGAGAATCATTGATCAGCTGCCTCCTACATGTCCCTTACTGGGGATCAAATCTGTGCATATGCCCTTGACTGGAATTGAACTTTCAGTACACAGGCCAACACTCTTAACTACTTAGCCAAACCAGCTGGGGCATCTGTTTCCATCCTTTACAATGAAAGTGAGATGGAAAGACAAGATTTCTTTTCCTAGTATATATGATGCTTATGATCATTCTTTATCAATGCAAACTGGATAAAAGAAATAAGTGCTGTAAAGCTGATTTTTCCAGGAGGCTCATGTTAGATTCTTGTAAGGTATAATTATGTGCTGTAGAAATTGTATACAAACTGGTATAGGTTTTTAATGTGATACTAGAAGAGATATAGAAGTTAGGTATGCAGGCTGGATAATCAGATAACACTTTACAAAAGTGGTAACAATCTGATGCTCACACCATAATTGGGATTTAACCCACTAAGCCAGGTCTATGGTCAGTAAAGATGAGATAAAGGGATGGCTGGATTGAAATTTCTGGCATCCCTTTACATTTGTATATTTGTTAAGAGCATATAATACTTAAATCTTTATTTTGATTATTTTAATGGAGGAGGGAAATTCTTTTATTCCTTCAGATGCCGAAAGTCCAGTATAAATCAAACTGTAAACCATCCACATTTGCATATCCTGCCCCACTGGAAGTACCAAAAGAAAAAGAAAAGGAAAAGGTAGGTTCTTTGTTATTTCAAACAGTATTTGTACTCATATAGAGGAGCAACTTAGTGTTTTACTTGGGTTTGTTTTAAAACTTTTTTAATGTTTTTATTTATTTTAGAGAGACAGAGGAAAGGGGGAGGGAGAGAGAGGGCAAGAAACATCCACCGGCTGCCTTGTGGATCGAGGCCAAAAACCCAGGCATGGGCCCTGACCAGGAATTGAATTAATTGAATGGGCAATCTTTCTGGTGTGGCTCAACCAACTGAGCCACACCAGCCATGACTAAATATTTTACATTAGATACTTTTAAAGTAATACTTCTTACAGTAAAATCTAATATACAGGACTATAAAGTAAAAGCCCTTTTTCTCTCCTGATTATTCAAGTCCCATATTGCAAGAATC